TAGAACAGTGGTATGTGGGTAATTGTGTACTAAATGGTACGTAATTTGGTACAATTTAAATTGTTTGGGGGAACAAATACAGTTGGAATTCTGAAATTTGGAGGATTGGAGTATGTAAGACATTTTGGAAACTCGCACACTTTGGCACTAAATGGTACTTAATTTGGAACAATTAAAAATTTTCGGGGAACCGATAACATTAAAACTCTGAAATTTGGAAATATTATAACTGTTGGATTGGAGTATGTAGGACATGTTGGAAATTTTGTACTTAAGTGTACTAAATGGTACTTAATTTGGTAATATGGTGAAATTCGGAAATAAGAAATATATGCGATTGTATTATGCAGTTTGGCACTGTGGTGAAGCGATAGAGCTGGAATTCTGAAATTTAAAAGCAAAATTTATATTTGACTGTGTAAAATAGGTAGTTACGAAAATTTGAAGTTAAGCGTACTAATTGGTACTAAATTTTTACTTATGTGTACTAAATGGTACCAAACTTGGTACAAATTGGAGTTGTGGTGAACTGATAAAGATTCGTACTTATGTGTACTAAATTTGGTACAATTTGGATTCATAACCCTAAAATTTGGAATTAAGAGTACTGTTGGAGTGTAGGATTGGATTATTTCGGAATTTTCAGAAATTCGTAATAATATATATTAAATTGTATTAAATTGGATTGGATTTGAACCCATATAAGTTCTGAAGTTTGGATTTTTTTTTAAATTATTACTGCAAGATATCTATATCTTCTATGTCCAAGACTCTTTACGGGTAATCTCTATGACAATGAAACCCTTTTACAAGTTTTCTATGCCCAGAAGACCCTTTGCAGGTCTTCTATGGCTAAATGACCCTTTATATGTCTTATATGGGTAAACGACCATTTACAGGCCCTCTATGACTAGAAGAAGTTTTGCAGGTCTTCAATGGCTAGAAGACTTTTTACAGGTCTTCTATGGCTAGAAGACCTTTCTATGTCTAGAAGACCTTTTACAGGCCTTCTATGACTAAACGACCCTTTACAGGTCTTCTATAACTAGAAGACCGTTTGCAGGTCTTCACCTTTAACAGGTCTTTTATGGCTAAAAGACCTTCCACAGGCCTTTTATGGCTATAAGACCTTTTACAAGTCTGCCATGACTAGAAGACTTTTTTAGGTCTTCTATGGCTGGAAGACCCTTTACTGGTCTTCTATGTCTTCAAGACGCAGGAATCCAATTATGTGACCCTTTTACAGGTTTTCTATGGTCAGAAGACCCTTTCCAGGTATTCTATGGCTAGGAGACCCTTTACTGGTCTTCTATGTCTAGAATACTCTTTGGCTAGAAGACCTTTTTACAGGTGTTCAATAGATAGAAGGCCGGTTACAGGTTTTCTATGGCTAGAAGACCTTTTGCAAGACTTCTAGGTGAACAATACTTTTTGTAGGTCTTCTATGGCTAGGAGACCTTTTGCGAGCCTTATATAGCTAAATACTTGAAATTCGGTATGAGAATCAAGTCTGGGAAATAGAGTTGATATGTGAAGGTGGTTTTGGGAATACTAAGTACACTTATACGAAATAGTACTATATAGTACAAAATTTGGTATAAGTCAGAAAGTGATTGAAATCTAAAATTTGGGATTAGGCTTGAGAGGAGTTTTGGTAATTTGTACTAAAAAAGTACGAAAAGTACTAAAAAGCTCTAAATTTTATATTTATGGTAGAAATAGAGTTGGAAATCAAAAAAAATATATTTAGTTCACCTTTTGTGGGGTAGGGTTGATATATGGAGGTCAATTTGGAAATTTAATAAAAAAAATACTGAATGGCATTAAAGTGGCGGTACATGTATACACAAATTGTCTTAAATCAGAAAAAAATGTGGTTATTTTTCTCAGCCCCGTTTAGAGGGGAATCTTGAATTTTGTACATAGATAAGGCGGGGTTTGGAAATTCGAATTTAAAACTGTGGTATAGACTTCAATTCCATATTTTTGGAGCAGAAATTTACCATGTATCGTTTGTGTTTATGTTTAATTGCAGAAAAAATCTCTTGAGAGACCTATAAACATTATTTGGTGAGAACATGTAAACAAATGCTTAAAACTCAAAAAAATAAAGATTCAGAACGTGAAATATCGAGTTAGTATCTCCCCTACATCCAGATGCTGAAAGTTATTATCATTAAATTATATTTAGTTTAAATATAAATTTTTAATTGGAACCAGCCACCAGATCGAGATCTTAAAAATAAACAATAAACATAATTTTTGTTACATTTCTTTGCCTCTGTTGTTTTTGTTGTGGTTATTGTTATGGAATTCATATTTTATTTATTCATCCAAATAAACACAACTCGAACATGGTGTTGTTTGCCTCTCCGCTGTTAAGCCCATAAAGCCGTCAATGAAAGGCAATAACCACAAAGTTAAGCAGCAGCATCAGCCGGGCAATGTTTGGTTTTGTTGGCTTATTTCGGCTTTGAGTGCCGCCAGCCGACAATGAAACCCACAAAGAAGATGGAGAAGAGCACAGCATCGAGCAAATATTGAACAAATTCTTTTTCGGAGCATTTATGAAAAAACAGAATGTCCGTCGTCTTCTCGATATGGTGTTGGAATGGTGGGGGTTTACGCTCAAGCACAAGCATTTGCCAGGGGAACTTCAGGAACATACATATACATACAAACAATCTACAAGAATCGACTAACAACCAAGTGATCTGCACACAACAACTTCGCGTGTTAGTGTGAAATTTTTATTTATCATTTACGCAGAATATTAAATATTTGCAAGAAGATCTGTTGCTTGTTGATCCATCCATACATCCGCCATCCTTCTATGCGTTTTGCCTGGTCGATTTGTTGTAGATCGTCGCAACACGTACACAGCAACAATGTCTCTCAGCTCAGTGGACTTTGGCGTCCCGTTCAGACATTGGTCTTAATATTTATGCTTTGCCCGTTTCCGATACATTCCCCCGCAACAGTATTCGATGTTGTTGCAGTTGTGCTATTTGGATTTTGGACAGCACTCATATTGGCGTGGGAATTTTTAGAACCGGCATGTTTCGTAGGGTTGCATGACGAAAGCAGAGGTAGAAACATATGATTTTTAGAATTAATCATTTCATTGATGAATATTTTAAAATGAATATTTTTATAAGGCTGGAGGACCCTTTATAGGCCTCTGAGGCTAAAATACCTATTACAGAAAACCAGTAAAGACCTTTTACAAGTCCTCTATGCCCAGAAGTCCTTTCGTAGGCCTTCTATGGTTAGAAGAGTTTTTATAGACTTCTATGGCTAAAAGCCCTTGTTCAGGTCCTCTCATCCTACAGACCCTTTACAGGTTCTCTGTGGCTTGAAGAACTTTTTATAGGTCTTCTATGGCTAGAAGAGCCTTTACAGGTCTTCTATGGCTAAATGAACCTTTTCAGGTCTTCTATGGCTAAACGAACCTTTTCAGGTCTTCTATGGCTAAAACACCCGTAACAGGTATTTCATGTCTAGAAGACCTTTCGCCGGTCTTCTATGGTTAAAAGACCCTTTACAGTACTTTTATGGTTAGAAGACCTTTTGCAGGTCTTCTATAGCTTTACAGATCGACTATAGTTAAAATACGCAACAGGTCTTCAATGTCTAGAATACCATTTACAGGTATTTTAAGGCCTGTAAGTTGTCCTTACAAGTTAAAGGACCCCTTACAAGTCTTCTTTGGCCAGAAAACCTTTTGCAGATCGTCTATGCCTAGAAAACCGGTCTTATATGGGCAGAAGATCTTTTGCCGGTCTTCTTTGGTCCTCTGTGCCGGAAGACCCTTAACAGATCTTCTGTGGCTGGAAGACCTTTTACAGGTCTTCTGCGGCTTTAAGACCTTTTACAGGTCTTCTATAGCTGACAGACATTTTATAGGTCTTTTATGTTATGGAAGACCTTCTACAGGTCGTCTATGTTAAAAAAAAAAAAGTTTACTGGTTCTCTATGTTTAGAAGACTTTTTACAGTTCTTCTAAGGCTAGAGGACCATTTACAGGTCTCCTAAGGCTAGAAGACCATTTACAGGACTTCTATGGCTAGAGGACCCTTTACAAGTCTTTCATTGCTAGAAGACACTTTACAGGTCTTCTATGGCTAAAAGACCTTTTACAGGTCTCCTATGACTAAAATACCTTATGCAGATCTGCTAGGGCCAAAAGATCCTTTACAGGTCTGTTATGGGTTGAAGGCCTTTTACACGTCTTTTAGCCATATAAGACCATTTACATATCTTTTATACCATAGAAAACCTTTTACATGTCTTATATGGCCAGAGGGCCCTTTACAGGCTTCCGATGACTAGAAGACCCTTTACAGGTTTATTAAGGCTAAAGGACCCTTTACAGGTCCTCTACGCCTAGAAGGCACTCGGGAGATATTTTAAGCCTAGAATACGCTTGAGAAGTTCTCTAAGCTTAGAGGACCATTTACAGGTTTTCTATGGCTATAAAACCTTTTACAGCTCTGCTAGGGCTAGGACCCGTTTAACTGGTTTTCCATGCCTGTAAAGGGTCCACTGACCATAAGACCCTTTACAGATCTTCTATACCATAGAAGACCTTTTACATTTCTTCTATGACCAGAGGACCCTTTACAGGCCTTCGATGACTAGAAGACACTTTACAGGTCTTCCATGCATATAAGTCCTTTTGCAGGTCTTCTATGACTAGAAGACCCTTGGGAGAACGTCTAAGCCTAGAAGACCCTTGAGAGGTCCTCTAAGCCTATAGGCCCCCTTACAGGGTTTTCTACGGCTATAAGACCTTTTACAGCACTGCTATGGCTTGGACCCCTTTTACTGATTTTCCATGCCTTAAATACCTTTTACATGTATTTTATGCCTAGAAGACCTCTTGCCGATCATCTGTGGCTAGGAGATCTTTGTCATGTCTTCCGTGGCTGAAAAATGTCTATCCTCTTAAAAATCCATTAAAAACTTTTAATTTAACAAAATTTTCAATCTCATTTTAATCACATATTTCTAACCGCCTTTACAATAAAATCCTGAAAATGCCAAACACTCGTATAGACACCGGGAAATTGTGGTCGAGCACAACCTCTACCCCACGAAACAATACCGCACAGTTCATTCCTAAAGACAGCCGGTCCACCGGAATCACCTTGGCAGGCATCGCCCACACCCAATTCGGCCGCACAAAACATGGTATTCTTAATTCGATCCTCTCCATAAAGGGCCAAATAATTTCGCCGGCAAAAATTGCGATTCACCACCGGTACACGAACGCTGTGCGCGACAATACTGGGTTCCGACTGTTCATTGAGTTTGCCCCAACCAGAAATTAGAACACGATCTCTGGGTTTCAATTGCCGTGAACACAGTGCAATTGGTTGTATAAATCTACCCAACATTGGGGCAACAAGTTTATAGATAACAATATCGGCTTCCGATCCCGTCACATTTCTATAACTGGGGTGTATTAGATACGAGGATATTAAACGCTGCACACCTTCTCCATAGATACTTGTGGCGCCAGCCACAGCAACGGTATTCTCCAGAATTTCTTCACGAACGCAATGAGCCGCCGAAACTACATGGGAATATGTCACCAATGTTCCGCCACAAAACAGATGACCATCTCTTAGGGTCCTCAGCTGCACCAGATATGGTGTGTTGGCGATATTCATTGACAAACCTCCCACAACACGACCTTGACATCGCACTTTGTTAAATAACAAGGCCAACACAAAATAGACCAAGATTTGTTTCCATCCAGCCATCTCTGACATCGAACTTCTAGTTGTCAAATAAACGTTAATCATGCCTAAGCTTGACTTTTATTTGAGTTCGGAAGTTTTTAGTTGTTATGTCACGAATCCAACTGTTTAAATAATTACAAGAATATTTTTTTTGTGAACTATTGAAAAACATTTTACAAAATGATGACGAAATTAGCCACCTTGAATTGAGGCTGCGATGTAAGTGCGCGTATTTGGGCTACATCAAAACGTGTGACATAATTTTCGTACGAATGTTTATTTTTCTAGACTTCCCAAACACGTGTCTTCTCTGAAACAAGATTTTCTATTTGAGTTTCTATCTTTCATTTACATTAAATACACATTTTAGGGTTTTGGGCAAAAATCTACCAGAAGGCAGCATTTTTGAATTGTGACGTCACAGACAATAATACTCTTCATCCAAAAGACATCTCAATTATCACTGTATATCAAAAAAAATTTGGTCAAAGTTAAAAAGCATCAGTCGATTTTGCCGACAGATGTATACCCCCAGCCTTGAGTTATGATTATTTAAACTCTTCACCCTCGAATTCGAACATGTATATCCGATTTTATTCGAAATCATAAATTTATATAGCAAGTTGTAACGAATCGCCGACTTGTTTGGCTAGTTGTGACAGATATAAGTATTGAAAATTATGACCCTTTGTAGTGAGGTACCAGAAGGGGTTAGCAGATATGTATCATCTTTACAACAAATCTTGCGTTATTTGAAATTTGAAGAGAGTTGGATTCTTATTTCGCTTTCTTTTAGCGTTTTGTTTTTCCATATCTTGAACCCTATGTGGGGGAGGTACCGGAAGGAATGGTTTGATCTCTACCAAACTTATAACAGATCTTGTGTTGATAGAAATAGTGAGACGTGCCAAGACTGATGGGAATCGAATGTAAATTTCGCGTTTTGTGACATTCAATTCAAAATTTTGAGCCTTTGTGGGGGAGATACCAGAAGCAGTGGACCGATATATTCCACCTCCACACCAGACCTTCGGTTACCATAAAATATTGTGATGTATGTAATTTGAAGATAATCGGACTCGTACATCACATTTTATAAGAGTTATAATTATTCTAAATTGTGACTCTTTGTGGGGGAGGTACTTGATGGTGTGGACCGATATTGTCTATTTTCGCACCGGACGTAGCACTGATGAAAATACTAGGATTTGCAAAGTTGGTGCAATAGTGGATAATCCTTTCTCTTGCTGTGTAGTAAATTTTTTTTTTTAAATATCGACCTTTTTTGGTGGATTTACCAGAAAGAGGGGACCGACTTTCTCTATCTCTGAACTCGATCTAAATTTGGCAGTTATATTACAATGTACCAAGTTTGGCCAGCCAGCCAGAAAGCCACACGGACATCGCTAGATCGACTCCAAATGTCCTGAAACGGAGTTGGTTCAAACGTTTTGGCGTATCAAATGATATATAGAGGGTATATAGAAATATGGCTGAGGGTATAAAAAATGATGGTTCGCGTTGCCAGTTTTTGACATACCCAGAGGGGAAAATCTCAAGGCCTTGCCGAAGAGCAACTACGTAAAATAAGTATCACATTTAGAAAAAATTTGGTTCGCTTAGCCGATGTTGGACATACCTTTAACAGCATCAAATATAGAAAAACTTTGTTTCGAAATACAGAACAGAATCGGGTTGTCCGGCTTCAAAAACCCATATCTCGGTATCCATGAAATATGATAGCACATACCTAGCATTTCGGAACGGTTATATACAGGGTGAGGTGAAAAAACTGCAACCAACTTCAGACTGCTGTCATTTCTAAGCCACTCGTCCGACAGCTGTTAAAATTATCCAGAGACAGCTCATTATATTCTTTACAAGCGTACAAAAGAATTTTTCTAGAAAAAAAGTTATTCGTCATGGAATTGAAGCGTGATAGCGTAATTTCTTTATATTTGGCTGGAAACGACAAGTGGCTACCGTTAGAGCACACATTTAAATGTGAATAAATCTTTTGTGTCCCGTACCATCGCTCATTACCGTGATCCTGGTAGCGTAGCCCGACGTCAAGGAAGTGGACGGGAGAAAACAGCAACATCAGCAGAAATGGTTATAAAAGTAAAGAAACGACTTGATCAAAACCCGCGTCGAAGTGGCCGAAAAATGACTCGTGAGCTGAACATATCGCAATATTATTCCATTCGGCAAATATTGAAAAATGAGCTCGGGGTAAAGCCATTGAAATTCCAAAAAGTGCAAGAACTTACCCCGCAACAGAAAGAAAATAGACTCAAAGGAGCTAAAGAGTTGCATCGCTTGGCCGGAAGTGGTGAACTGCCGAATTTGGTTTTCTCCGATGAGAAAACATTCGTTGTCCAGCAGTTTGTAAACAAAAAAAATGATCGTGCTTGCTTGCCAAAGAGGTCGGCTGAAAATGTGCACCTTCGGTTGGCCACCAGAACTCAAGCGCCGACCATGCTGATGGTGTGGGCCGCCATAACAGCCGATGGTCGCTCTCCGCTCGTATTAATCAACCGTGGTATCAGAATAAATGCCGAATATTATCGCGAAAATATTCGGGAGGGTGTATTAAAGCCTTGGGCACGCAAACTTTTTGGCCGCAGACCTTGGACATTCCAACAGGACTCAGCACCATGAAAAGGCAATATATTTTATGGAAACTTTTTGGCGGTTTTATAAAAAAGGCTCCAAAAAATCTATAATTTAGACATAACTACAGATTTGAAGCCCATGTGGGATAGGTATTTCCATAAGCTTTCAAATTTACATAAGTTTTCATAAGTCCGTCAACCAAAACAAAAAAAAGACTTTTCCGGAATCAGGGTGGAAATGCCTACCTCTGGAAAAAAAAAAACTTTGGAATTTCAAAAAAATCCAATAGTTTTTTTTACTAAACTAGAGTTGTTCCCCTCCCATACATTAATTCCCTCTGATTCTGATTACGGGTAGCTCTACTAAACTTACATTGAGGAGTAGGGTTTCATTTAGTCAGTTTTTAATTTTTTTCGACTAGTTTTATTCCATTTCTGTTATATTTTAATGTTTGCCAATCGAGGGGTCGAATTTTCGACTATCTCATCATTATGAGGTAAGGACATCACTCAATCGACCATTGGTTTTGCAGTCGGATATGTAGACTCTGTGGGATCCATTAAGGATGAGAGAATTTAAATTATTTTGCTTATAAAATAAAAAGGAATAACTCATTATTTTCTGGATTAAAGTATGTGGTTATCATTAATAATGGTGCTGAAAGTGACACAGGTACCAAAAAATTTGGTTCGCGTAACCACTTTAAAGAGTTAGAAAAAATATACTCATTTAAAAAATCTCAGTCTTTATTTTTAATTATATATTTGTTTTTTTATTTATTAATATTATTATTATTTTTTTTTCAGGTTATGCTTCCCTAGAAATTTTTCAAAAATTAACAGAAATATAAAAATGTTGATAAAATATTTCTATTACCTCATATCATAATTTCAAAAATTTTATAGTTTCCAAAAAATACAATCAGTGACTCTCAATTTTCAATAAAAGTAAATACAATATATTTATTTGCTAATGTTTATGTGGAAATATTTGTTTGTTTTCTTTCAAGCGATATCTGTTTTTTTTTTTTTTTTTTTTTGGGAAATTATTTCTGGTGATAGCCTTCTTTTAATGGTAGGTGATAAATTCAACAGGTCCTTTATGACCTAATCCTTTCATCAATAAAACTCTGTTTTCCCTTTGACCTTCTAATAAACACAAACACCATAATTCTAATGTTTTATTTCTCTCTTATCGAAAATGGGATAAAAACAAGAACCCGATCCTTTTAACCCCTTCGATAACCCTCATTCGCTTGGACAAATCAAACAAATCGTAAAAAATCACGATATACTCGCAACATAACTAAAACTAATGTTTTGAATACCAGGAATGAAGGAACATTGAAATTTAGTTTTGAGAAGGGAATTCTTACTCGACAAAAAAAGAAACAGAAAAAATCTCCATCAAAAGAAACAATAAAATCGTGACCATTAATGCACTTGTTGTTGTTCTTGTAGTTGTAGCTGTCAGTGTTTCTTGTGCCCCGTTTAATGTGTTATTGACGTGTGTCACGGTTTCTGTTTCATCCTCAATTCCTACGAAAAACTATTAAAAAAGGCATGGAAGGAACATTGCTGCCTGTTTCTTTAGTTGGCTCAGGAAACATAGAGCGGTTGATAGTAGCTACACATATCCACTCACTCACTCACATATATATTTTCTGTGTATACTCAAGATTTTGTTTTCCATTCTTCGTTCTCTATCTGGAATTATATTCTTCTCTGCAACGTGTGTCCCCTATTCCCTTTCAAACTCGATTACATGTGTTGTCTAACTTCAATGCATGCTCCCCATGATGATGATGTTGGGGAACCATCCAACTATCAAAGGATGGATGCTGTAGGCTTTGGCGGGGATCGGACATCCAAATCGAACTATACATGTATAGAGAATTATACAACAATTGCACTTGAATTATTCTGTTGAGGATGCAATTAACTATGGCCATAAGTCTCCACTCGGTTGTTTTGTGTTCGCCTAGCCAGTTGGAGAGTTTTTTGAACTTTAGACAAACCGTCTGCCATTGGGGGCTTTACAAAGAATTTCCATACAATTTCAAGTTTATGTGCAATTGTATTTGACTTCTTGTTTTCTTGAAAATGTGTTCTTTTTGTTCACAGTGGTTCTCTAATAATATATGTTAGTAGCTTGGGTTGGTTGGTATAATTATATTAAAGTCTTATTTTGCATACCAAAATTTGCGTTTATATAGAGTCTGATAATAACTGCAATTTAGCAGGTTCATCCCGACCTTATATTTTTCAGGACAGGAACAGAGCACATGTTCAAATCTAGCCTCGCTTCCCCATTGTTTGATCGATTACCAATGATTTTTTATACTGCGATAATTCGTAAAATATTTAATAAATTTTTGTTTTAAAATCGTCAATATTTCATATAAA